AGACTACATTCAAGTCGAATTTTCCAACCCAGATCTTTAAACCGAGAAGAAGACCGAAGTTGACTATAATTTGGAAATGAGAAAGCCACATCCAGATTCAAATTCCGAATTACAGCTTCAATTCCATATCATTTCAATATGGACTCGACTTCACGACGGAGGAACCATCTACAACTCAGTTCGACAGGGAGTTATTCTTCAACTCCACCGAACGAAAAATTTGTGTCTTTTTTGTCTTTGTCCTATTTTTCGTTCCACGAAAAAGGATAAAGAGGGGCAGCTGTAGACACTAATTTTCGTCCATATTTTTTATTATTATTTTATACATATATACCTATATATATTATATGGTTTGCAAATGGTTTTTGAAAATATATATATAATATATAGTTTTTAAAAAGAAAACATTTTGAAAATATGGATAACATATAGTTTTAAAATCATTTTAAAAACTTATATAATATATAGTTTTAAAAACATTTTTGAATAAATTATATAATATATAGTTTTAAAAACATTTTTGAATAAATATATATATAGTTTTAAAAACGTTTTTTAAAACTTATATAATATTTTTTAAAACATTTTGAAAACTATATAATATAGTTTTGAAAACTTTTTTTAAATATAATATATAGTTTAAAAAATATTTTTGAAATATATGTATTATATAATTTATATTATATCAGTATTATTATTATTTATTTTCTTCTTATTATTTTCTTTTTATGTTTTTTTCAGGGTCCAAACAGTCCAATAAGTCAGACGGGCCTGATCCAGCCCAGAGGTCAAATTAGGGTTCCAGTATATGTCAGCGCCACACAACAGGGGACCGTTGGATCAACAAAGAGATCAACGACCAACATAGCAAGGGAATCAGGGTTTGTTTAACCCACAAAGAGCTATCAGCCGCGGCCGATCTTGGACCGTTGGATCTGACCCAATCCAACGGTCAAGATCAAATCAAGGTTACCAGAAGCCTGAACGCCACCACACACCGGTCGCCGAGATTTCCGGCCGAGGGGATCGGGACTGACCCATCCCGAAATCCCCGGCCAACCAACCACAATCCCGAGATCGTCGGGACTCCCAACGGCCGGTGGGGGTTATAAAAAACCCACGACCAACGCAGTACGGGGGAGGGTTACCAGCCAACTACGAACGAATCCACAGTACCAACACATCAAACACGAGACAGAACCACAAACGCAAGAACAACAAAACCAAGAACCATTTTCTGGAACGAAACATCATCAAACCAAGATACCAACAGTAAACAAAAGCCATCAACACAAGCAAGCAAAACCCCAAAAATATCACGTCAACACAAACGCAAAAGACCCAACCACACATAAAATATCAAAGAACCAACCACAAAGCCGAAGAACTTGGGTAAACGAAGGGACACCGACGGTTTAAGGGTAAAAATCGAAACTTTACACCTAGATCCACGCTGGTAGGGATAAGTTTTGGTGTTTTAGGTCTCGGATTTGGGTGTACGGGGTTAAAGGGAGTATTTTGCTGAGGTTCAGTTTGTCCGGCCGCCGCTCGCAGTGGCCGGGGTGTCGGGTTGCGGCCGGCCATTGGCTGAGGAAGAGCCTGAGAGTGTTTCTCTCGTTTGGAGAGATGAGAGTTCTGAGAATGGGAGAAATGAACTGAGCATTGGTCTTTTGGACCTTTTATATACGGGGGACCATTGTGCAATTATATGATTGTTAAACTCTCTCCGCCATCCCTAAGAGTTTTAATCGCTTTACAATCCGGTCACTACATGCAATTTGGCCTTTGGATTTTCAAGTTATTCAATTTGGTCACCGTTTATGCTTTTTTGCATTTCGCAAATTAACCCTCTGATTTCTGGTTATTTCAATTCGGTCCTTTTTTATATATTTTATTTTATTTTTTGTTTATTTTATCATTCTATTTATTTTGTTCCCTTCTATTTGACTTTATCATTTTTTATGTTGTTTATTTATTTCGTGTTTATGCATTTTTTATCTTAAGTTGGTTTTGCGCTTCTTTACAAATCTAACACTTTCATTTTTTAAGGGTCTTTTTCAACTGATCAAAGGTAAGTAATCTGAATCGGTTTTTAAATTTTAATTTAAGTTTTTAATTTCTCGCAATTAAAGACAACCGATAAATTAATTGGTACCGAAAGGGCGGTTCAAGGGTGCTAATCCTTCCTTGACCGTAACCGACTCCCGAGCCCGACACGTTTCTGGTAAAACGCAAATCAGGTAAGATGGTGCCCGGCCCGCCTAAATTCGTTTTAAAATGGTCGGTGACGACTCCAATTCATTTAACCCAAGTCGAACCGGAAGGCGGTTGCGACACTATTATAAGACTCAAAGATAAATCTCTTTTTTATCTTTTATATCGGAGCTTGTATGAAATGTATACGCATACTTTATTTGAAAGCAGAGACATATATTAAAAATATGTTACTGTTAACTTAGAACCATGATTTAATGAAATATGAAATAATAAAAATAAACGACTTGACTAACCGATAAAATGTGTTTGCTTGTTTTATTGAAAGAAATGTCAAACAAAACTAATAAGAGAAGGATAAATAGTGTAGATGCTATTAATGTCCAGTTATGCATAACGTGAGATATTATTTTTTTAATATTTTTTTGTATGTAATTGATTATAACATGTTTTTAATTTCTAAATTGAAATTAATGGTAAAGTTTATAAAAAGATACCTATTTAATTGCGCGAATCAAACGATTTTAGTGGTTAATAGATTTATTGTTAACTCTTGAAATCATGAGCTCGAGCACTGTAAATATTAAGGATATGAGTCAGTGATACATCCAGAATTTAAGGATGGGGTCTAAATTTTAATATTTTTTTCTTAAAAAATAATGGGTATGCAATTTTTTTTCTTTAACATATTAAACTAAAACTTACCATTTTTTCAGATTAACAAGGATACATTTGGCCACTTATGTGGCTTAGTACATCCGTCTTAATATGAATATTCATTATCAAATAATTTTTAAAAAAATTTTACTTTGTATTTACTCAAATTTATTAAAATGTAAAATGGGAGGCGGTTCTTGAGGTAAAAGTGGCAGCTACTAAAATTAAGGGTAACAAGATTATGGTGCAAGCCTGCATAAGCTAAAGGAATGTAAGGTTAGGAAGATATTTAATAAAGTTGACATGCGACAATTTTAATATACAATTAAGGAAAGATATTATTGATTTTTTTATTATTTCTTTAATAAAATCGGTAAAAAGTTATCGAAACATTATTATTTCTACCGATATTATTATTATTGGACACTTTACCGGTTTTGTTAACATATCTAGTAAAACGTTACCTAAAACATTATTTTTTTTCTACAGGTTTTATTATTATTGGACATTTTATAGGAAATGTTAAAAATATTAATGTTTTAGGTAAAAATAATAATATTTTAGATAATTTCTTACCGATTTTGTTAAAAAATAATAACAAAATCAATAGTATATTTAATCGTATATTAAGGTGGCGTTTGGTTCGATGGAATGTTTATGAGGGAATTAGAATCTGTGAAGGAATTTGAATCTAATTTCATATTCTGTTTGGTTGGCAGGAAATGAAATTGGAATCCAATTTCATATCATGTTTGGTTCGCAGACATATCAAATGAATTTGATTACAGTAATGTAAAATGATAGAATCGCCCTTCTTGCTTTTTTGTTTTATTTTAGTTTGTTTTACAACTTACATGTAGTAATATATTATAAAAATTAAAAAATATTAAATTTTCATTTTATTGATTGATTACTCATTTCAATAAATTATAAAAATCATACTAATAAACATCATAAGTTAAAATCATCGCAATCAAAATATGTTAATAAGTTACTAAAAGATAGAACAATATTTCGATACATTCCAATCGGAGTATGTTAATTAGTTACCAAAAACTATTTTTATTCAATATATGAATTAGAAACCCGACCCGACACGACACAAAATAATAAAAAAAAAATTTATTCAATAAAAACATTGACTTAATTGAAAAAATATATATATAGAGGGGTATTATTGTAATTATTCCTAAATATATAAGGTAAAATTATATTTTTTTTTCAGGTCGGTCCGATTTTTGTCACCCTAAACCAAAACCCGACCTGACCCGAATAGCACACTTAAAAAACCCGACCCGAATATCACACTTAAAAAACCCAACCCGACCCGAACAAAATAAAGTTTCACCGACCCGGCCCGAAATAATAAAAAATTATTTTTATTCAATAAAAACAATGACTTAATTGAAAAAATATATATATAGAGGGGTATTATTGTAATTATTCCTAAATATATAAGGTAAAATTATATATATAGAGGGGTATTATTATAATTATTCCTAAATATATAAAATAAAATTATATATATTTTCGGGTCAGGTATTTTTCACCCTAAAACCGAACTCGACCCGAACATCACCCTTAAAAAAAACCGACCCGACCCGACCAAAATAAAGTTTCACCCGACCCGACCCGAATATATGAATTAGAAACCCGACCCGACCCAAAATAATAAAAAAATATTTTTATTCAATATATGAATAAGTTATCAAAAGATTGATGAGGGTAGTATGGTCAAATTTCAATTCCCTCTAACAAAGGAATTGAATTCTATCAATTTTTGGATAGAATTCACTTTCCCTCATTTGATGGAAAGTTGAAGCCATGAGAGATTCTAATTCCCTTGAAAAAACTTGAACCAAACATAAAAAAAAATAGTGAAATTGAATTTCAATTCTCCCAAATTTTAAGGATTAAATATGACCAAACGCTGCCTAAAGTTACCGTACGGTAGAACTTTCCGCTTGATTGAAAACCTCATATGGTCAAATATGAGCCAAGAGTCAAACACCAAAAAATTCGACATAGCTTGATTTCCGCCACACACGTGTCTATCACTAGCCGTGAGAGTTGAAAGAAGCCAATAAATACTCTTCCCCCAGCCATTCAAATAATAGCGAATACCCCTTTTCCCAAAGGAAAAAAAAAGAAGCAAATACCCATGGCTTCATCCGTTTCTTCCCAACAGGACAAGGTGCTTTTTCATTTTCATTTATCCGTTTCCTTTTTCCCTCAATGAGTCATGTGTTATTTTAGCAATTACAAATATGCGAATATGTCTTGCTTAATTTAGGGTTCCCCCTGTTCCTCTTAAACTAAGTTTGGTCGATTTTGGGGATCACTCATGTTTCTTCATTAACTCTGCAGGTTCTAGTAGAAGCAAACTCTTCTGCAAGGATAATAACCTTAAACAGGCCTAAGCAGCTCAATGCCCAGTCATTTCAGATGGTATGATCCGTTTCTCAATCAAGTGCTTCAAATCATTCATTATACTTATAGAACGAGTATTTAAGTATTAGAATAAAATGTTTTATGCTGTGATATCCCTTTGTGCAATCAACATCTTCCTGCGTATGCTTCAACCTCAACTAATGTTCTAGCGGGCCTTGGTATGAAATGAAATTCTATTTGTGGTTGTTTCTGCGCATGCTACGGTTTTTTTTTCGGTTAAGAGTTCATCGATCTCCAGTAGTAAGACTACAATTTCCAAATTGTAGGCAGGTCAAACAACCCTTTTTGCTGTAATTATTCTTGTTCATATGGTTTCTTTTGCATGTCTACTATGTCAGCAAAGTATTGTAACTGTCTCCCATCCAATAGAATCACGTATTCCCTATGGATATGTAGCATGCACTTTATCGTCGTGCTCTTCCCTATTTGTATACTATCTGGCTGACTGTTATATATTGTCTATTCACAATCACAAATTTGTTAAAACATAGTAAGTAGTGCAATAATATTTTCTCTCTTGACGGCAGATTTATCGGTTATTGGAACTTTTTCTTGTCTATGAGGAGGATCCGATTGTCAAGCTGGTAATATTGAAGGTACACACCTAAGAAAGAGTCATCTTTACTACCCATTTTCTTTTACTTTAAACAACATGACCCAAAGAAATGTGAGGAATATGAAACTGTAAACAATTGAGTATAATGACATCTTTGGGTTGCATAGAAGCATACCTGGTCTCTGCTCTTATCATATTTGAAGTTGGCCAATTAGATTGTTTGACTGCAGATTTGGTTTTTTCCATTCTACTTATTTATTTCTAGAATGTCCAATTGAAAGGCTATCTATATTTTGCATTAACATCTTAGCTCATCAGTGTGGTCCTAGATAGTCAACAGTCACGACTGATGACTATGTTCTGTCTTAATTTATCATGTACATCATGAATCATTTTGGGAGTATAATTAGGTCACACCGCTACTTAATTGGCGGAATACAGTTGAAAGGGGAATTGTATGCCGAGTTTTGACCATTTTAGTTCCTTATTGTAATGAAATTGCTGAAGGGCTTAGTTTTTTCTCCAATTTTTGAAAGACGCAATTAATTTGAATGGATTAGGTGTTTTGGTATAATTTGGAAGATTTTCTTGGAAAGAAGTAATCATATTTGATTAATCCCATGCATAGGATTAATTCCCTTCAATGGTTATGCTTCACAATGTTTTACTATTGAAGAGAATGTTGCTGATAATTGGCCATTTGTCATTAGGGAAAAGGAAGAGCATTTTCTGTTGGTGGAGATGTTGCAGCACTTGTACGTGATATGAGGGCAGGTATAGATTCATTAATTTCTTATGTATACCAGATACCTCTAATAACCCTTTAGGTCTAAAAAGCTAGTGAATTACATAATTAGTTTGCTATCATTTTTGTCTGCCTCACATTTGCCTTATTTATGATTGCTCTTTTGCTAGCACAGTGAACATACGCTCGAAGTGCTGAGTGAAAAGTGCCTTCTTTGTCCTCTTTTGTTTGATGAACTTAAAATCAACGATCTTTTCTTTTGCTTTTATATGCTTTAGATGATTGGAGAGTAGGTGCCAACTTTTTTTCACAAGTGTTCAAGTTAATATATTTGATAGCAACCTACAGCAAACCACAGGTAATCCAATTGGCTTTAAGGCTCCGTTTGTTTTGCTAAGATGTTCTCCCATGAGTCATAACTTTTTTCTCAGCAATATTTATTTCAAATGCTATTACATTATTATCTGTCAATCAAACTTCGGGCATTGCATAAGCCAATCTCTAGAGGTCTATTTCAGCAGAACAACACAAATTAAATAAATTGTCTTAAAAGGCCCATTTAGTCTTCTTCTGGCTTTAACCCATATCATCTATATCTATGTTTGTTCTAAATGTGGGAATGTAAACTATCATTGAAGGTTTCAATCCTTAATGGAATCGTAATGGGAGGTGGAGCTGGTATTTCAGTGCATGGTAGATTCCGTGTTGCAACTGAAAACACGGTATTTCTCTCTTTGTATCTTCTTTGAAATACTTGTGTATGTTCTTGCATTTATTAGAAGAAAATTTGGATAAATTAGCGTCCAAGCTAAAATTTTGTCTATTTTCAACCATGCTAAACCTCCATTTAACATATTTGATGTCTTCAACATTAAGGTTTTCTATATGTGTTTATTTATTGGATGTTGTGCAGACTTTTGCAATGCCTGAAGTAGATTTGGGACTCTTCCCAGATGTAGCAGCCTCTTATTTCTTGTCAAGACTCCCAGGATTTTTTGGTAATCCCATTTATATCTTTGAATATCTTTATATACATTCCCTTAATTACTATATTTGTAAACTTTTATACCTTTCACAAATAAGGCAAACCTCTGTTTCACCCATTAACATCCAGGGTTTAGGCTAATGCCATTTGTTGGGTCGAATTTGGTTCATAGATCCGTTTCTTGCTGTATCAATAATTCTAGCTGGCCAAAAAATTATTTACTTTAAATTTCTTTATATTGTCTTCATGCTTCATGACCTTCTTCTGGCAGGAGAATACGTCGGTCTTACTGGTTCGAGGTTGGACGGTGCTGAAATGCTTGCATGTGGCCTTGCAACTCACTTTGTCCCTTCAGCAGTATGCTTCCCCACCTGACTATATAGTTGAGTTCTAATATATTTGCTGGAAAGTAGTTTCATACCAGTTGATCAAGAAAACATTATTCTTCCTTCAATAAGACAGTACTCAATCCTACTCTATTTCATCGAGTCCTTAAATTTCAGCTGAATTTATAATCCAAAATAGGCAGTATGAACGTCTCTTGTTTTGTACCTTGGAAAGTTTAGTTTTATTTTTTAACTTTTAATATTTAATTTGAGTACTTGTTTGTTTATATCTTTTCACTTAATCAACAGAAATTACCAATGTTGGAAGCTGCATTGTGTAATGCAGATTCAAGTGATCCAGTAATCATTTCATCAATTATTGATCAATACTCTGAGAAACCTTCACTCAAAGAGCAGAGCGTGTACAACCGGTAAGTTTTAGATTAATAATCCATTTTCATGCATAGCTGCAGATTAGATGTCATAGTGACAAAATGTTCCTAAATCCTTGTTATTATTGGTTCCATGCTGCAGATTAGATGTAATCGATGGATGCTTCTCTCAAAGAACAGTAGAAGAAATTATATCTGCCCTCGTAAGCTGCTTTATCTTGTTTGTTCTGGACACATTCATCTGTTTTAGTGGATCTTTGCTAGTGTTTTCAAAGTTTCCTGCAATTTATTATTTCATCAGTATATGCCGCCTAAGACAACGATTCGATAAACATGCTTACCAGGAGAGGGAGGACGTTCACCATATGGATAGTTGGATCTCTGCTACAATTCAGAAACTGAAAAAGTCTTCACCAACAAGTCTTAAAATTTTTCTTAGATCAGTAAGTTGACGTATTCATTCCGACTGAGCATGCCAATGATGCCATTATCTTTTTGAGGCATCTTCAAGTAAATTATGAGAATGTTGGAAGCTTGATGAATCGGCTTTATCAGATTAGAGAAGGAAGGCTCCAAGGTGTGGGTCAATGCCTCGTTCGCGAGTACAGAATGGTTTCTCATGTCTTGAAGGGAGAACTCAGCAAAGACTTCTTTGAGGTGTTTTCAACTGGTTCAATACAACACGGTTTTGAGGTCCCACTGTTTCGTCAACGGAGTAATATCATACTTTTCTTTCTAAATGCAGGGTTGCAGAGCTATACTACTGGATAAAGACAAGAACCCAAATGTTGATAATCTCTTTTTGCACCCCACTTAATCCTCAATAACCTGTTTCCATTTTAGATATGAAGTTTAACGAGTAAATCAATGTGATTCCATTTTGGTTTTTGTCAGTGGGAGCCATCAAAATTGGAGATGATTGATGAAGGTAGAGTTGAGTGCTACTTCTCTAAAGTGAAGCATGAAGAGTGGGAAGATCTAAAGCTTCCCATTAGAGTCAAGTTCGAGCTGCCGCCTTATGTCATTGCAAAGCTTTAAGCATAGAAGGTAGAGATTTGTAGCTACACTACTCCTTGCATCAGTAATAATAAAACTGAAATTTGTTTGATTTGAATAAACAAAAAAGAAATAAAACCCGGGTTTCTGACACGTCTTTATTATGTTAATTAAGGAAAATGAGAGGGAAGAAAAAAGGAGTAATCAATTTGACTCGTCTTCTTTTTCCATTAAACCAACATATTTTCTTTTAGGTTTCTCTCAATCTACTCACCAAGCACAGTTGATATGGATAAACTAAAATTTAAAATAGTTTTTATAATAAATTTAAATAACATAATTTTTTTACAAACATAAAAAAGTTAAAATAGTTTTTATAATAAAGATATTAAAATGAAAATTTAAATATAAAACATAAATTTTGATTATTTAAAATGAAATAAGTATATTAATTCTAAATACAAAATTATACGACTAATTCAAGGCGTTAAAAGTCAATGGTCAACTTAGAACACAAGGCTGTCTTTGTCATACTCACATTTGTCATTAAATTTTTATTAGCGTAAATGGATGCTTACTGGTTGCACCGTGCAATACAGGAAGCTTATACCCATTGAATTTGACAAATTCAGAATATGAACAACTCGTTGATTGGTCTACCGAATGAACTTCACTTTAACCCATCCCAATTCCCCATGAAATGCGTACAGCAGATGTCGACTGCCCCATCCAGGCATCATTTCCATCCGTTCCTATGCAAACTTGAATATCACTCGCTCGCGTCGGGGCCGGTGGGGGGTTGTGAATTTATCTAATCATTTTCTTTCCATTTTGGTTAACCTCCATCTTGTAAACAGGATTTAGCACTTTCATTACTATTTTGGAATTGAGATAATATGGTATTAGTTTCCTTTCCATTAAAAACAGGGTAACACATGGCCTTTAATGGATATTATAGTATAGATATTATATAAAAAAAAACAAGGCAGTACTTTTGGTATATACATCCGTATTTAATATACTAATCTATTAATTTAGATTAAATATTACAATTATTTAATATAGTGCGACTCTTTTAACCTAGTTTATTAATCTTGTTGCTCATCAGTATTTAATATATTTTTTGATTAAGCAAGTATGTTTGGTCGGTTGGTCAAACTGTTCATTTTTGTTCTGTCATATTTTCTTAGATCAAGAGTTCTAAACCTACTAAGAGCACTTTAATTCCTTCCGCTAGAGTCTTCACTTCCACTCCCCCTAGGTAAGATTAGGATTAGATTTAGAATTTGTAAAAAAAATATATACTTTTTGATTAATTTAAGTAGAGTACAACAAAGGTTTATTATGGACCCAATTTATTCTATTTACAATCCTAAGATTCAAAATTATAATCTTGCTCAAAGAATCTATCCTCTCGTTACTAGACTAATGAATAATTTGTAAAAAAATAAAATATTATTAAAATTAACTTTATGGCAATGAAAATAAAATTAATTGAGATATTTATTTGGATTTAAACACTAATATGAAATTACAATAAACAAAATATTAATTTTCTCTCATTATAATAATGAATAAAATTATAGTTAGAAATGCTATTCAAAGAAGTGTTGAATTTAATAAATTAGATTTTATTATTATTTTAATTTAATTTAAGAAAAATAAAGCAAAGTCATTGAAGTGTGTGGAAAAATAGTCAAAAGTCTCATACTGCTAATCTTATGTTTGGATTGTATTAGAACAAGGGATGAAAGAAAAGTAAGGATAGTATCCTTAGACAGTTTCTTTTTAATTTAAACAAAAGAAGGATTAAATCCTTGAAATTCACATTTTTTTAGTAATATATATAATATTAAAAACTATGTACTAATACTAATAATAATAAGAAGATGGAGGGGTAAATTGGAATTTTCATTCGTTTAAAATGAGGGGACCAACGTCATCAAACATTCAAAGGGTTAGATAAGAAGGAACCCAAAACCTTGCCTTAGTTAAAGGACAAGAAGAATCCTCTTTAAAAAATTTTGTCACATAGTTCAACTATTTTTTATTAATACTTTATTTTAAATAAATCTTTTATAAATTTTTTAAAATCCGTACTCTTGACATAAAATTTTACTTCTTTATCAGCCAGGTTTTATAGAACAAACAATGCTCGGCAGATGATATCCTGCATCTCATGATTAAGAGAAGTTCTTGTTTACTATATATAATGATACAAAGTTGCAGCGTAATCATTTCAAAAAGTATAAGGAAAATACATTCAGATTCAAAGAGACAGATAAGGAGATTCAGCTCAAATAATCCTTCAAATCACAAGGGAAACATTGATGACGCCTCCAGGAATTACCATGCACCTTCAACATGTCCAGCACCTTTTTCTGGGTGGAACATCGTCCCTCCAAATGCAGCAATGTCACCAGCTTCTTCACTGCTCCGTACATGAGCATTTCCTCCGAAACCCTTTCCGTCGGGTGATGATTAGACACCAAATATAAGATCTTCACCCCGAGCTTAGTGGCTGCATTCGAGATTCCCAGCAACTTGTTGGAAACAACAGCGATTCCTAAACCATGATCCACTAAGGCCGCCCTTCCCTCCGGACATTCACACAACAGCTTCATCACAAGCAACATTTTCTCGCATTTGGATCGGTTCGAGTCAGGTAAGAGCTCGATGAGGACGCAGACGGCGCCGGCTTCGATAGCCTTCAATCTACTTTTCTTTGACAATGATACTACTTCGAATAGAACCTCGAGAGCATATGAACTCGCCTTGCTGCATATCTCATCGTAGACTAGTTCTAACAATGACTTCAACAAACCTATGCCTCGATCTTCAAGCAAAGGGTTCCAATCAAAGCCTGCTTTGGCAATCTTTCTGAAGATAATTATGGCATGAAACCTGGCTTCGGCACTCCCACGTTGAAGCACCACCGCTGTCGATCTCATCGGTTCTGGTTTAGATAACAATTCGAATGCTTCTTCTTGCTTCGATAACGGTAGCACATGTAAGAGACTTAAAGCTTCCTCGCAGGCTTGAAAGCTAACGAGATCACAGTTGTCGACGGTGGACTGACTAACAAGCATTCGAACAACAGCCTCGACGCCACCGGATCGAATGAATTCGGACCTCATATCATCACCTGATTCAACTATTGCCCGAATTTCCTTCAAGGAACTTACTTTGAAAGGAGAAGAATCAAGGGTGCTGAAGAGGGAGACCATCTCGTCATGCTTGATAGACGGCTGAGCCGGAGACGAGGACGACGAGGACGGAGCATCCACGAGTGTTTCCCGCCACGCTAGAATGAGACGCTTGAGGGTGTGATTTGGGGTCGTATCGAAACTGTGGAGGGGTTGCATGGTGGCGGGACAGCTTCTTTTGTTGTAGACGTTGAACCATTTGTCAATGTTCTTGCGCTCGTAGGAGACTCCGGTGACGATGGTGACCGGATCCTTCATGATTTCCCTGGAAATGGGGCATCTGAAATCTTCTGGACAATCTATTTTCTCCATAGCAATACGTGCTTTGATTAAAAGCGAAACAATAGATCAAGAAAAAGCCGTAGATATATACACACAGAGAAACAAATATGGATGGGCGCTAACGATATAGCGGAAAAGTAAATGGGGAAGATGTGGTGTAGTAATGTCGTCCAAATCTTCCACACTAAACTAAAGAAATAAGGGTAAACTATACCCCAACTATCAACTCTATTTTGTTCTGGCAATTCAACTACATTTTATTTCAAAATCATATCTAACGTTATATTTTGGTTTCATTTTGGTCACCCGTCATTAAAAGCTTAACGGTGATACTAACGTGTCGCCATAAGATAATATCAAGTTATCATTGAAAAAATTTAAAAAAGAATTCCACATCGACGATAGGTGATCAAAATGAAATCAAAACGTAATGTTAAGTATGCTTTTGAAAAAATAATAGTTGAAAGACCAAAATATAAAAAGAGTGATAGTTAGGTACTAAACTTATAGTTTACCCAAGAAATAATCAAAGTCAAAGGTATTGAACAATATGCAATTGCAAGAACATGGAAATTGGGACCCTAATAAATAAGTAATTTCACGTTCCTTTTCGAGTTTGAATTTTTGCAATCTGACTTTTTTATATAAATTAATGGGTAAAGTATACAATAAGATACTATTTTATCAAGTTCATCGATTATTAAAAGTTATAAAATGGTCATCTAATTATTGAGTATTACTTTGTTGAGACCATTAACTATTAAAAGTTACAAAATTGTCACATGACTATTTAATATGTTCCAAACTCGTCATTTTCTGTTAAAAATTAGACGGTATTCTAAGCTAAATGTTAATCTGCTGACTGTGATATGATAAAGTCTAATTCCAAAATCTCAAAATAAATATCATATCCCAATCATCATGTTAACCTCCAACTTAGACAACCATCAATTTTTTTTGATGAAATAAAGATGTAAGCTAGCACCTATTGTGCTACTGCCAAATTACAATAAAATGAATCTTGTTGTATTAAACTAAGTACTTCCGGCGGTGGAGAGTAGAAAACCGTATGATCATCGACTCTTTCTGTTACTAACTTGTTAATTTATCAGCCACCATATTCGCATCCCGGTTAATATGCCTTAAAGTAATCGTCCATTCCTGATTTAATAAATAATCGTGTGTAACTTTTAATAGTCTAGGGACTTGGTAAAACAACATTCTATATTCAGATGATCATTTTGTAACTTGTAATAGTTAAGGAACTTAATAAAGCAATATCTTACAAGAGACCTTACCCTAAATTTATTCACTGTTAACGTTAATATCAGACATTTAATTTATGCTGTAGATTTACTCCCTTTTAACATTTTGTGATTGTTTTCTTCATTAAAAATAAAAGAAAAGAGTTGGCTGTTTGTTTACAAAACAAACTAATCCATAGATTATCTAAACAAATTCTAAGGATGAATGTGAACCCAAAGTTGACAAATGGAACAATAAGACCTACTCTCCAATTTATTCCACTTTTTTAAATTTACATTAAAAAACTATAAATACTTGCTTTCTTTTACAAAAAATTTAAAGAGGACCGTAGTTTCGATAAAAATACATAGTAAATCACACACTACATCTAATATTGATTGGGCGTGAGTCTTTTGATTCTTGCCAAGCAATTATCAGCGGGTCTTGTATGTGGTAGATACCGAACCCGACTTTCAGGGTTAACCCGCTCCAGCCTGAAAACACCCCCCACTAAATGTAATCGTAAATTCAATTGATGTTATGATTACTTTAATAATTTAAAATTAATATCGTAAAACAGCTTACCGATAGTTAAGGAGAAAATGATGAAGGAAAATAGCGATTTCAAGTTTGGCAAGATCATTTCCAGGGCACAGTCTGCTTCCCGCTCCAAAGGGAAGAAATGTATTTGCCCTGCCCGTATAATCCTGCACCGCATAATTATTCACGCTTTATATATATATAAAATAAATAAATATTTAGAGAAATATAAGAAATTTTAATTATGAAATTTACATCCCAACGAGAAGGATTGAATTCTTTTGGATTTGGGTAAATGTCAGGATCCAAGTGAATGCTTCTGAACCATACTAGAATTTTCCATCCCTTGGGAATCACATAACCTGAAAAATTCCACCATCTCAGCTATCGGCCACGCTCACCCATCTTTTTAAATTATGAAATTTTACCGTATCAGCAGACCTTTTATATGAACATCCGTTAATGCTTCACCAAAGACTGTTACTGAAAACGTTATCAACCGAAGTGTTTCATCAATCACCTACATAAATCAAAATTAATTGGCCACTTAAGTCGATGGTTCTAAATTACACCCCTACTCGTCTGAAAACATTCAAGTACCTTTGAAAGACACGTCATTTCTCTAAATTCCACAAGGCTTAGCCCCTCTTTGGTAGGGGATCTTTCTTTCACGGTCCTTTCTTGCTCTGCCTGTAACCAATGATACCATTGTTGTCAAGTTCAAACTGTCAAACGTTTACAAATCTTACATATTTCGAGTTCTACAAAGCGAATAGATAATTAAATATGATCTTATTTTTTTTTTCTTTATTAAAAATTAATTCATCTACTTTAATTGACAAGACTCGAATTTTATGATTTTTATAATATCATTAATGAATTTAAATTTATAGCACCGTCATTATCGTTAAAACGATGATATTAGTTTTTTGTTGTTGTTATTGAATCACATAATCGGGGTCACACGAAAACTCATTTTATGATATTAACTAGTAATAAACTACAAATTGCTCGAATGTTTAACGTTTTAATTTAAAAATAAAAAATATATTATATTAAATTAAAATAGACAAAAATAAAATCTCGAAATTCAATATAGTCGAATGGTTAAAACCTCAATTAGACCCCCCCCCCCCTTTATTTAAATCCCTCAATTAGACCATAAATATTTATAACATGTAAAATATGGGAGATAACCTTTGCTTTTGCCAGGAATTCAGGGTGTTGTTGGAGGAAAATAGTAGCCCACATGGTTGTATGGACAGAAGATTCATGGCCTGCATTCAGATACATCAACATAACGTCAATGATTTCCTCGTCATCCAACGGTTCACCTTTCTCGTCTTTAACCTCCATCAACGCATCCAACATGTCTTTCTTCTTCAATGACCCATTTGCTCTCCGCTCCTTTCTTCGCTCGTTCACCGCGGATTGGAATACAGCCACAAGCCTTCTCCGAGCCTGATCCATCCAAACAAAATATTCCGACATCAAGTTAAAGGAAAAAAAAAAGGAACAGGTTTAGAGATATTCATAAATCGAAACAAATCTGAATCGCCTTGAGGGCCTTATAGTAAGCAAATCCAGGGGCATTGATCGCCATGGATCTAACTCCAAAGTTGAGAGCGGTGTATTCCTTCTCCAAGGCTTCCATCACCTCTGCGCTTTCGGAGCTGAGAAAAATATGCATTATTATCCTGAAAGTGAGCATCCGGAGATGAGTCAAGAATTCGATTTCTCCCATTTCTGTCCATTTCTGCAACGCGGATATAACCTTCTCTTCCATGTATGGGATGTGAAAGGACAGTGCTTCGTGGCCGTTGATGGAAGCCGCCGTTAAGCGGCGGAGACGCTTGTGTTCTTTGTATGAAATTCCGATGAATGATTTCTTCCCGATGAGCTCCACAGCTGAAGTAGGCCATCCTGGCTTAAATGCGTCATCGTCATTTAACACTCTTTTACACGTTTCGGGCATTGTAACGATCACACTTTGGTTACCGAACATGAATGCCTTGTAGATTCCAGTGTGTCCAAATCTGCATTATAATGGATCAAATACCTTACAATTCCACCAAAGAAAATGATTTTTTTTTAAATTTTCTTTATCTTACCATAGTTTCACTATAAAATAGAAAAACTATTTTTTTTTATTTTTGTTTCTTCTTTCTCATAATTTGAGTTATGTTGTTTTTGTTTAATTAGTCTTGTTTTCATATGAAACTATAAATGATTTTTTATAATATGCTATTTTTATGTTTTTGTAATACGTTTTTCCTTTTTTTTTTCTTTTTAAGATCAAATTTGATGTCGACTCTCCATTCTAGATTATATTTATTTAATTTTTATGTTGATCTATTCATGCTTTGAAACATGTTCTAGATATATAAACAATTACGAAAGATAGGTTGTCAGTTTATCAGCAAGTCATCATTTATATATTAGTGTTGATAGTGTTATCATCCACCGTTGACAATTATATTTATTTATTTTTATAATTTGTTTAGGTTGTTTGATTAAAATTTTAACCATGATCTTGTATGATTTAAAAAAATTAAAGTTATTTTCCTTAAATAATTTGAAACTTAAATTACATTTTTTAAACTATCCTTGACATTTTTAAAGCCCCACGTGCATTGATCCAACTGAAATTCATTCTAATAGTTAAATGGATATGAACATATTCATTTATCTAAGACATTAATTCTATCCCTTCTTAATTATAAAAAAAATACCAATGCCAAAGCTAAAGCCATGAATAAAAACAATCTATCCCAGCAAAAGTTGTGACAGAAATGTAAACCTTTTAATATGAATATAACAAAATCTATATCACCAAAAAAAAAAATATAGATGAGGGTATTGCTAGAGATGGATCTTCCTGGATGTACATATATACCCATAGATTTTGTATATTGCAAAACATAACTTGATAAAATTTGGTCGAGTTGTATTTCAAACTAATTTTCTCATATACAAAATACACAAAGAAAACATGAACGAGTTAGGTAACCATGATACCATCTAACGAGTTAGATCAGTTGGATAAAGTAGAGCATATGGAGCAAGAGAGCGAGTGAGTGGCGAGTTAAAGTACCTGGAAACGAAGGAATGGATGAAGGAATCGGGATCATTGGACCAGAAAGCTCGGAGAAACGACCACATGTTGCCAATAAAAGGCCACCCCAAATCTCCCGGCGGCAAAGAGTACCGCTTATCCCCCAAGTTGGTCTTGTACACCCACCCATTCACTCTCTTCAGCACCCATTTTACAGAGACAAAGCAACCCAAAAACACTGAGAGGACCACCATCCACTTCCACATTGCCGGCACTGCTCCCGTATTTGGTCTCATAAACGCCCACCAATTCACCCTCTCTATCGCTGTTAGAACCGCGGTATATATAAGCAATTACTTAGTAACAGAAACGAAAGCAATCGGCAGTTAAAAAACTATTCCATTACCAAAGTTACTGGTAAAACTAATTAAATAATGAATTATTATCAGATATAGAATAAACTGTAATTAAAAAAATAAACACTAAATTAATAAAATATATATTTTTTTATAAATCTGATGTAAATACAATATAATATTAATTCAAAAACTCTCAGTTAATTAATAATAAACTTTCACACTTATAATATTTACCGTGCTTTAAACTCAAAAATAATAATAAATCTCTCGGCCACTCAAATTTATATCTATCATGATGCCTTGGTATATCTATCATAAATTAAACATATAGGACAAACGGGGTGAGCTTGCCGCCTATGTTGGCCCTTTTGTCGTTTATGTGATTCTATTTGCTAATTGCTATTAAATGTTAAATTTGTACCGAAATTATTACGTGCGACAGTGTTAATATACGATTAAAAAAAATTATTATTAATTTTATTATTATTTAAATAAAAAAACTATTAAAAAATTATTAAAAATATTATTATTTCTACTGATTTTGTTATTTTTTCTATAAAACTTTCCAAATTTGCGAACCATATACAGTAGTTCGCCTTTTGGCTTATCCATTAACATATACAGTTTCTGGCTTAATCCTGTCATCATCACAAATCAATTTATTAAAAGTTTAATTTGTATGCTTATGTTTAATTGACATTTTTTAAAGTTCCTTCACATGTAGAATATTCGTAATTCTTTGATATTACGTTGTTTGTCCCTTATGTTAGTGGAACGATGGCACCAAAGTTAAGACCCACTCGGCTGCCACACCCTATATTATGTATTGTTGCCTTGTGAACAATGATATCAGCATTTTGCATAACCTGATTTGGATTTACATTTAATATGTCGTAGAATTTTATCCATCTGATTATATGTTATTAAAAGAACAATTAGTCTATTTTATTTTTATTTTTCTTTTTTGATAATATATAATTTAATTTATTGCTGTAATTAAAGTTTAATAATTGTAATAAGTTATACCATAAATGAGTTTAAATACGAAAATATTTACGTTTTCAAATTATTTTATAAACTTTTCTTATTACTTATCCACAGCGTCAACCAATAACAATTATCCACTATATATTTTCTTCTCCATGTTATTTTATCTTCACTTTATTCATGTAAACATAGAAGCGTGTTATTAATTAGAATTTAATCAAATAATTAAATGAATGATTGTTGTTTTTAGAGATTTCATGTTTAAACATCGTGAAATAAAAAGAATAAGATGAATAATTTTTATTGATTGAGATGAGACCATAAATAGCATGTTGAAAACTCATTAAATGATTTCTCGACAATAACTCATGAAATAATTTTTATTGATTGAGATGATTTCTTGAAAACTCATGAAATGATTTCGTGGTGCATCCAAGAAGCTTGTATCCAGGACAAATTTCACATAAAGTGAGAATAAGAAATTGCAAAGCATGCATTGACAGTAAAGGACACGTACAAGACTACAGGTTTTATATAACCATGGTTTTCAGAATCGGACCGATTAACGAATCGTCATGCTATCAGTTTACTGGTTTAACCGGTCGAACCGATTCGACCGATCGGAAGAACCGGACGACGTTATAATTATTTAAAACATTAAATAAAAATACCAAAAATATTTAATAAAAAATAATTTTTTATATCACAAGTCATATTCAAAGCAAGTCATAACATATATAAGTTAAAAACCATAAAATCAAGTGAAACAAAATGATTCAAATTAAATACAACATAATATTTAAGGTAAAACATATTAAATAATAAATATAATTATATAACTATAATTAAAAAAATAAATTTGAGGTTAAAAAAATCATAACAAAATGATATTGTTTGGTTTAATTGTTTTTTAAAAAATAATCTTACATGACTAAGAAACATAGAAGAACATCCCAAAAGTCTAAAGAGTAAAAATATGAGAACAAAACAATCTCACATGACTAAGAAACATAGAAGAACATCTCAACTAATTTCTATAAATAATAGAGGTAATTTGACATTCAAAATCATGGAGCCTTTTGTTGAGCATTAAGTGAACTATTCTTTCACTTCAATCAAGCTCGAATTTTAGGCTTCAATCGAGCTTCAAATTTTTTTTTGAGTTCAAGCCTTTTCGAGTTAAAGTTTCAATATTATATTTCGAATTTGAGTTGAACTTAATAATTTTTAGCTCGTGAGTTTAAGTCGAGTTGAACTTACTTTTAAAGTTTTCAAGTTCGAGTCGAGCTCAGTAATACTCGAGTTCGACTTAGCTCGTTTAACAAATGACATCGTTTGGTTTAATTTTTTTTAAAAAAAAAACAAAAATTGGCGGTTTTTTCTGGTTTTCAGCCGGTCCGATTCAAACGGTTCAGCGGTTCCGGCCGATTCACTAGTAGTGGTTCAACCGGTGTAGATTGAACCGGACTAGGTAGCGGTTCCCGGTTAAACCGGTTGAACTGACTGATTCGATCCGGTTTTCAAAACACTGTATATAACAAAACAAATGATCAGCTGCGAAACTGGCAGTTCCATAGACATAACAAACATAGAAAACAGAAACATTTCTGGCTCATACCAGACCATGCACCCAATCCCAAGGTCAAGAAAAGCCCTTTCCCAAACCCTCGAGAGAAGCGTAACGGAGAAGAAGAGACAGCAATGCTAATTCTCCAGTCCCTTCAATGGCGATGGTAAGCCCTTATCATCAGGTGACTGGGAATAGGATATCGAGATCAATTCAGACCTGTATTTTTCGGCTTCATCAGAACCTGTTCTTTCAAACTGCTTTTCACCAATCAAATTACCTGATGATAGTTTGGAAGCAACAACCTTATCAGGTAATGAGTAAGAGATTGCGATGAGTGATTCCCGAGTCACTTCTTCGCTTCCCTCATTTCCGGGTGTCCTTTTATCCATATAACGAAGATCTGCTAGCTCTAGATGAAGCAGAAAAAGAGCTCTCTATTTGGCACACACTCAATTTCAACAGCAACAATGAAAAAGAAAGACAAATTAGATAGGAGCAACACTAAAGGACTTTATATAAAGTGCACAAGGAATAAACATAACGTGTTTAAGATCTTTTGTATATCCTAACGAATGGAGACAAATATCATGAACTTGGGGAAGAAGAATACGGTATGAGGAAAAAGACGCCGAAAAATACCCTAATTTGCAACTATCTAGACTTGTCAATTGAACAACTAGGATTTGATTCTAGGATGAGTCAATCTGGATAAGATTAATGTGAATTTTGGCTTCGAATTGTTTCAGATTCATATCAATTTGGGTTCGAGTCAATAAGGATTTATTTGGTCAAATTGTTGACTTTTTCAAATTGAAAACTGAGAAGCTTGCTTCTATCCGTAATTTCATTGTGAAGCTATTACTCTTTTCGCTTCGATTCTTTTGTTCTCATTCCTTAGAAGAAAAGTTAAAACAATAATGTCAAAATCAATTTTGATTTGCCCCGCATGCATCAGCAAGGTTATGACCAAAAATAAAACATTCAAATGAAACAGGAAACAAGGAGAAGCTGTGGATATATGGAAGAAACTAAAATCGAAACAAATATATAGATCTGTAAATCGAATTCCGTATATGCCTAAAAACCCAGTTTCTTAAGCCACAAATACTATGATTCTTCAAACAGAAACAAAGAAACCCTAAACAAAGCTAGTGCTGGAAATAGGGAATCGAGGAGCAAAGGAAACTAACAACAGAGGAAAGCAAGGACTAAAAAGAAAGTACCAATTGATAGGCGAATGGAAGGGCGGGCACTGGAACTTTGCAGACGCGAAGATGATAAGAGGTTTGCTTGATGGAAATGGAAGTCTTTTTCAGTTTTTCTCCAGTTTTCCTGTTTCTTTCTTATATTTGCTCGGTTTTAATCGTGTTCTCACCACTTGCCGCAGTTCAAATTAATTATTCTAATTATTTTGAATTTAAGTATTCTCTTTATCATATCTCCGATAAACGACTGAGGGTTGGTTGGCAATCAAACTCCTACTTAACAATGTTCAACTTAACAGTCAACATAAAAGAATTTCGGCAGTTAAAATTTTTAATTATTTATTTACATTTTAAAAAAATTATGAATCACCTTACTATATGTGTTCCATTAGCATTTGAACATGTTAAAATGAATATAGATAGTGTATACTCATGTGATCAATCCATGGTATTTCTTGTAGCTCTCCATTAACCGAAGCCTATGGGATGTAGGTCCAAATAAACCCTAAGCCGTAGCTATATAGAGGTTAGGCCTATTAACTCGGTAAGGTTAGCCCAAGGGAACATTTCTCATACCTCATGCATTAATTTAACTACTCAAGACCCATGTCCCAATCGACACAAGATCTACCCATAAGATATGCATTTGACAACGTGCTGATTAGGCAGGTCTATTTTAAAATGCGATAAGCAGTATAAGTTAGGTATATGATTGTTCTCAACACATACACATGCCACGTTCCTTTCGTTTGTAAGCAAAGAAAAAGCATGGATAATTGTCCTGGAGGTAAGCATGATTTTATATTAAATAGACTAATTATATTTAATAATTTTTATTATAAATTTAAAATACAAAATTAGAAAATTTCAGAATAAAATTAAATCATTAATAAAAATAATTAAATCATATTAAAAAATTGAAAATTTTAAGGTGTTATCACTCCAATCTCTCTTCTCCGACCATACTCGATAACCATAAAAAACTATTAAAAATAATTATATGCCGTGACGCAATTGAATACGTGTCGTTAGTGTAAATTTATCCTATCGTAAATCGTAATCCTGCCGATATTGTTGATCTGCCTTCCTCTGTATTGGATCAGCACGAAAAGTCTAAACCTATCCCATTTCTAGATTTTATTCTAGAGAGGAAAATCCATTCAATCTACG